ATAAAGGGAACTAAGTCGGCCCTGCGTAGTGCACCTGGTGCTGTAAAACATCTCTGCTTGTTATACAATAATCCACAGGCATCAAACCCAATGACTTCCATTAGATGGCTGCTTCCCATAAATGACAGTTACCCAAACTTTAACGACAAGGCTGCAGCCAACGTTGAAAGCATCTTTTGTCTTTCTCCAAATAGGGTCAAAATGGCTCACTGGCCTGTGTTTCACTGTCCCCTCTGCTCACAGGGCCGTACTTCATTTGTAGTTGGACTTTTTTTTTTTTTTTAATCAGATTCTGCAGTTGTGTGCACTTTCCTTGGATACAAACAACAAACAAATAGCTGTCTTTGTTATAATTATTAGCTTGAGGAGCCCAGGATTTAAAGTTACTGTTGAGACTGTGTCTCTGGCTTATGGTTTATTTATGTGGATATGTTTTATGGTATTTTTTTTACCTGTTCTCACTGGTGTCTATTTAGTACGCTTGGCATCAGCTTACCAGCGTTGTTTCTCTTCGCTATTGCAGCCTCACCCTGATTTATATATTTTTTTTGTGCCATTTTTTCAGAGTGTTCTTCCCTCTGCATTACAAGATAAACACACCTGGTGAATAAGCACCAAAAATAAGCTGCCTCATATGTTTCAAACTCAAGAAGTGAAACTTTTTAACGCTCAACACTTCCATGACTCACTGCCTTCCAAATTCTGATTTAGTATCATCGAAGGTAAGTCATCTCAAAAGTGTTGGCTGCATTATTTTTCACACTCTGCGTGTGATCTCTGCAAGGGGAACCATGTGGGAGGAGCGTTTTTTTTATCTCAACACTCTCCAGTAGGTCAGGGGGATGTTATCTCACAGGCAGCTGTGAGAGGCAGGACTGGCTCTCACACCGACTCAAGATGGTGACATCATCATCACCACCAGCACCAGCACCACGAGATGCAGCCACAGCTTCCCCGAGCCGTATGTGTGAATGAAAGTCTCAGTGGCCAATCTTGCCACAGTAAACAGCCTCTAACTGGGCTTTGTCACAGAATATGGCCTGTACTTAAAGGCGCTGCAGTGCTTGCTCGTACACGTGTAAGTTTTGTGCATAAAAATAACAAGCTGCAGGGAAATGTTCCTCTGACGCCAAAAGCTTGTTTACACTAACTCCCTAAACCAAAGATAAATTTGGTAATGACACTGTGGTAGGCGTTAGCTTGCTGCAGGAGCATCATTATACTCTGCAACCGGCTAGAGCTGACCTTTCTGGTTTTTGCTGAGTTCATATTAAATAGGTGATCTATTCTTGAGTTTGTGAAAGGCTTTAGAATTTGTTTCACAGCATGGCTTGCATCCTGTTTTGTAGGCTGGTGTCAGTTATATGTTCCAGTGAGTAACAGAAAGAGGAGAAGAAAGACATTAACAGAAAAACCTCCCTGAGAGCCATGAGACCTAAACTTGTTTACAGTAATTGTCAGAGGATTTAGGGATGGGAAATTGCAAATCCATAACAGCTAAACTAATTATTATTTTCAGTTTTGACTGATCTGTTAGTTATTGTCTCAATTTAAAGATTAGATGTTTAGTTCATAAAAACGTATGAGATCAAAATCAGTGTTTCCCAAAGCCGAACTCAAATCTCTATAGTCACAACATAAAGACATTATGTTCACTCTCTTAGTTCATCTAAGTAGGAACTGTTAAAAGCTAGAAGAGAATAAAGACCTGTTTTCAAACTACTCAAAACATGATAATTGGTTATAAAATTTTGCAGCCCAAAAGACTCCAGTTGAAACCAGTTCAAATACCTTTTTAACTAATTATAGAACAGATCTTTATAAATTTTTTTTTTTGTAGGTTGGGTTAATTCCTCATGAGGATACAGTGTTTCTGTAAACCTGTACATGCTCCTCCCTGAAGACACTTCCTTTCTCCCTTGGCTCAGTGGTGAGGCAGTTAATTGTCATCTCACCTGTCATGTTCAACAGCTTAATACATTATTAAGTAATGTGTCATTAATTGTCTGTTTTACATAGACACAGACAAAACAGGAGGCTGTGGGTTCAACAAATCTCAAACCAGCCTTTCTTGTGTTCAATCACAGCTTTTCAATGACAATGTTGTTAAACAGGTCAGCTCCCATGAGAGGTAAAGTATACTGTTCTTGTCCTTCCAAAGTGCACAATTCTTAACAACACAAGACTACACACATGTTACAGTGTGTTCTCACTCCTCAATTTTCACCCGAGGCGTAAATCCTGAGAACGACAAGACACATGAAGCTTCTCCCGTCTGAACACTCGTTCCTCTCACTCGTGCCGTTATCCTCTCCTTCCTTCTGTTCCCCCTCTGTGTGAGGATATTGCAGGCTTCCTGCCACACATTCCCTCGCTTCCTCTCCTGTTCATCTTATTCACAGTCACCGGAGAGTAAACACGCTGAATGAACTCAGGCCAACATTAGGGGAAGGCCCTCTAGGGCGATATGGTCGATAAACAAAATACTCATGAGAATTGCTTTTTTTTTTTCTCCTCCAACTACAAGGTTCTGGTTTCAGCAAATTCTACCAGAGATCTATTGTTGCCTGCCTCTGCCTTTACAAACACAAATAATCACAAGTGTTAAACCCATACGCTTTTAAATTGCGACATATCTTAGAGTTCTACCATCTAAAATGTACCTGCTCTACCTATAAAAACATGTCACCTAATCTCCATGCAACACAAAAACAACAAGCTCCTCTCCTAAACTGATGAAATCATGAAACTCAACAAGGAATAAGAAGTGAATGGAAAGCTGTTGGGTCACCTCAGGAAGTGATCAGTCATAAAGTTTAGCTGTGGCATCTCCTTTTTCACAGAGTGATGGAGATTTCTTAATCACAACCAGCAAGACTTCATAGTTGGTAAAAAAAAAAAAAATAATAAATAAATACCAACACAGCAAATTTCTCCACATCCCGTCTGTGCTGCAGAAGTCAGAGATTTCTCACTTGCAGACGGATATTTCCATTAACGTAATGAAATTAGAAAAATTGTGACGCCCGAGAAGAAGGCTACGACCAGAAATAAACGTTCTTTTTCCTCATCGGCCCAATCAATCCTCGTTATGATTTTATCGTGTTATGAAATTGTAATCCACTTCATACAATCACCCGCAGAGTTAGGCTCAACAAGCCATGTGCAAGTCATTTACCTTATCTAAATCAGCCCCTCCAGATCAACAGCATTGGCCACGGTGCCCAAGACGTGCTATGATACAGCTCGGGGCTTTAAGGGGAAATTGCAATGACATCATCTGAAAGTCAGCACCCACTGGCCATACATTCTCTCCATGCCCAGGAATCATGTGTCCAATCAATCCGGCTGTCTGCACAATTCAGGACGCACAAAGACTGACCTGTGCCACTCACTTCTCAACCTGTCTCACACACACACACACACACATTAATGGACAGATACTCACATGCTGAGCAAAGAACCCACTGGCAGTCATTGCCTCCACATGAATCACATGACTGAGTGGAACAACCATCTGCAAAGAAATCACACACAAGAGTTAGTTATGGTACATTAAGGCAACTTTCCACATGTGATATCATACAAGTGCAGCTCTACAGATCTTTACAACAAGGATGCATAACTTCATATTATGTCGTAATGCGCAATCTTTCAGCACACACACACACACATACACACACACACACAAACAGCAGGGCATGACAACATGATTTTAATGTGACTCAGATAGAAGTGTAGTGTTGCATAACAGGTTGATCTGGTCCATGTTGGTACCTGAACAACTCGGGCTGGCAATCATGACTACACCAGTCTTGCTCATGCCTTCCTCTGTGTCACTCTTTTCCTTCTCATTTACAAGAGATATCTGCGGTATCACCCCCCCATTAAAAGTTAGCATACCTCGCTAGCCTGCTAAAAGCTACAGACAACTTGAGTCACTCTTGGCCAGCGTGGACATAAAAACAGACAAGTTGCCAAAAAAAAAAAAAAAAAAAAAAGGACAGTATTTGCGTTAAACCAAAACAAAGTTGAGAGACAGCTGTCAAAGTGGAAGCTGAGGAAAAGTAATTATGAGAAGCCATGTGTAAAAAAAAAATGGAGGTACATGTAGATTAAAATCAGCTAAGTGTGGATGTCTTGACCGAGCTAAGGAGGCGGTGTTAGCCGCTAGCTGCGCACTGAGAGGTCGCAAACTTACCTGCGTCCGTCGCGGCTGGTGACCCGATAAGAGCCAGAACTACAGTGAAAAGCACCGCCTTCAAGAACATGACTGCTGGCGAAAATGTTGCTTTATCGGCTCTGGAGAGAAGTAGTTGTCGTCTGAGAGACGTCGAGGTGCAAGAATGAGGAGATTTTCACGGCTTCCTCCCCGTGTTGCGTTTCTGGTCGCTGCTGCTGCTGCTGCTGCTGCTGCTTCTCGCTAGCTCTCCACTTCCTATTTGACAGGTCATGTGGCACTTTTTTTTTCGTTAATGGGAGGGGTGAGAAAAAACTAGTGTACGTGAGCAGAGAGGGTTGTCTTTAAAAGAGTAAGAAAACCATAACTGATGGGTGTTCACTTCTGCTATAGCCTGAGATATGCGGCACTCCAAAAATACCTTTAAGAAAATCCACCTGAATGTTATGTAGGCTGCTCTAGAAATGACCTCTCACATCCACATCACAAGCTTCAGGGCGCAGAGAGGCCCCACACCATGACCCCTCTGCCTCATCATCACACTGAGTTCTTCATGCAAAGTAAAAAAAGAGGAATATATTGTCCCCACTTAAGATATCTGCAAAGTAATGTGCTGAATTATTACAAAAGCTAGGATTTCAAAAGTATAAAAACTGTCTTAAATAAATATTAATGTGGAACCTGTGAAGAATAATAAGATGCTATTTAAGAAGGGCATAACCCTTAAGTCTATCTGAGTCATGCAAGGTGATTTATTTTCTTTAAAAATACAAATAGTTCAAAGTATATTAAAGCAAAACAAGGTGATTTGTTTATTAAAATTCTGTTTATTTTACCTCGTGAGAGTCAATAGAATGAAAATAAACTTGGCGCTAATACTTTAACACGCCACAATTTATAACTTTACATTCATACTTTGGTCTTTCGTTGCAGGTCAGAGTTTCTTCTAATCTCCGGAGGACTTCCACACCCTCAACCGCCTGACTAGAATGGAAAATAAAGACGTTAGGCTTCTGCAAACTTGGTTACCTTGTTGAACAATTTGTTTTAAATATGAAATGAGTCCGATTTTGGACAGTTAAAATGAAAAAAGTAAAATATTTGTATAAACCCAAAGGCAACGTAGGTCCTGTCCATCCAGGGTGTTGGCTGCAGGGTGATGTAGAACTGGGATCCGTTGCTGTGGGGGCCCTTATTGGCCATTCCCAGAGTTCCCCGTTTAGAGTGGCACACAGCAAAGCTCTCATCTGTGGGAGAAAGGAGAAAGAAGTTAATACACTCATATTCTGTAAACTAACACATTTGTTAGTTAAGTAAAACTGTTTTTGGACTTTTTATGTTTACCTTCAAAAGTTGGACCATAGATCGACTCCCCTCCATTTCCTTTCCCCTCTGAAGAAATATCTGCAAAAAATGAAAGACACAGCACAGTTAAAATGTGACTCAAACAAAGACTTATTGCACACAAAGAAGTAAATCAAGTTTTTTTTAAATTCATTTTCTTGATCTCCCAATATTTTGTTTAGAATTTCCTGTCTATCTCAAATTAATGACTGAGACATAAGCTGCTCAAAATAATGAGAAATGTGGATAAAATGTTTCACTGTTGGTTCACTCTTTTTGTTTCATTTATTGGAAAAAAAAAAAAAAAGTCAGAGGTCCAGATAAAATAGAACACAGTGCATAGAAAGGGCATGGTAAAGGTTCTTGATTTTTATGGAATATATAAAACAATATTTATCAATACCTATGAACTTAAAAGAGGCATCTGTACCAATGTTTCCAAAACTGGGACTGGTAATGAACAGTTTTCAGAGGCATCCAGTTGGGAAATAAATGTTTGCACAAGGTTTCTTAAGACAGCTGGGAGAGTATTGATTTGTGTCACAAACATCTCACTTGCACTATTTAGGTCTGTTTACTAATATTCTCAAAGCTTCTTTATAAGCTACTTGTAGCCTCTGCATGCTCGGTGTAGATATATATCCAATGAGCTACACAGATGTTTAGGTTTCACGAGAGATTCTACATATTCATATTTAACTGCATTATATCATACCCCCTCCTTGTACCCATCCGTTGGGCACCACACGATGGAACAGAGAGCCTTTGTAGCAAAGTGGGAAGCCGCTCTGAGACAGGCCTCGCTCCCCTGTGCACAGAGCTTCAAAGTTCATTGATGTCTTTGGACAAATATCTGAAAAAAGCTGAGGCGAGAGGAACAATGTGCATTGTTAACGTGCTGTTATTCTATAATAGACACCTTATTTCTTACATCAACATTGTTCATGAACTTTCTTTTGAATTTGTGGACAAAGGATGCTAGGAAAATATAATTGTGCTGGAAGTGTCAGCGCTGTCTCACCTCAAACAATAACCTCCCTACTGCATCTCCTTCTATCTCCATGTCCATGAAGACGAACCGGTGCTATAATGAAATGACAGAATTTCATTGAATAATTTCCATCACATTTTTCAAAGTCACACAGATAAGACAATAAACAATAATAATCAATTATTCTAAAAAAAAAAGTCATGAAGAAGCCACACTTCCTGCTTCCCCAATAGGAATGGTAAATATTTGTTGTTTTAAGTGATTGTGTAGTTGACTTGCCCCAGTATTCTTAAGTTGTTTGGTGTAGTAGTCCTTAGCGAGAGCTGCGTAAACATCCTGCGGCTGATTGAAAGTGAAACTCCAGCGATCCCTGGACCAGTTGATGAGACTCTTCTCATCACCCAGGAGAAGGCCGTTGAGAAAGCACATCAGGCCGCTGGAGTACTGCCACACTTCACCACACAGCTCCTTCAATCACAATTGTTGAGGAGCAAATCTGTTGTGATTCATTCAATTCAAGGTTACTAAACTATACAGCAGGATTTTGTTGCAGTGGGTGTGATTAGCTGTTCAAACCCCTTGCATTATTTATAACAGCATCACTCACTTCAGCTGAGCTCATCGAGGTAGAACGACATTAAATATTTATTCAAGTACTGTACTGTTAATGTGTGATGTAATCGGACTTTATTTGAGAATTTATTTTATTTTACCACACTTAAACCTTTATGTTTCTGTTTTCAGAAAAACAATGTTGTGTTCTCTACACCTCTGATTTTAAAGACAGTTGTGTTGAGTGAATTGATCGTCTTCATCTTCTTTTTTATAAAACCAAACACGGTCAGTTTTCCATCAGATATCGTGGGGTACAAATATGGAATTCCAAAAAACACGTTGTCAACGACTCTTCGTCTACAGAGATTTTTTAAAAGGAAACTGTCTTCACATTTAATCCATGAGGTCAAACTTTTGCATATATAAAATATATATTTTTTCTTTTTTTCTTTTTATTCCATCAACTCACTCATTTCACTCCATTTTTAATAGATCAATGCCTGATTCATTTAGCTGATAGAGGGTTAACACTCTCAGTCTTTCTATTGTATGCATGTGTCTAAGTGTGTGTGTATGAATACGTGTATAGGTTACTGTATATGTGTTTATATTTCATTTTGTTTTGAAATTGTGTAATTCGATTTGTTTAGTTGATTTATTTGTCTCTTTAAGAGGTGAGGTCCCTTGTATGAGCCTGTTGGTTTCTTGACCTCTCCTGACACACCTTTTATCTTTTTGTTAATCCTATTTTGATGTATTCTTATATGTGTGCTAATAAAAATAAAAATAAATTTTTTAAATATTTTTTCTTTGAATAATTTGCTGTTTTATCATGAAGTGTTTTATCATGTTTGTGACTTACCGTTTTCTTGCTGCACAGAAAGTCATGCCAATCAAATTCAAGTAGTGGTTGAGTCTTTGGATCCAGAAATACTTCAGGAAACTTTTGTTTGAGACCCTGTTCAACATAAACAAGACAAAAGTGTTCAGGTGGAAAAAAAAAACACCATTATTAAAAAAAAAAAAAAAAAAGTAGATTTAAAATACTGAGGAAAATAAATGTTCACCTCTGCTATACTCTTGGCGATGTGAAAACTATGGTCTTTAACTAATCCCACAATTTCTAGCTGCATTTTTGGATCCATGTCTGAAATAAAAACCAAAGGGACGAGGACGAAGAAAACACTGGGTGTCGTATCCATAGCAACCAGCATTTAAAGGCGCTTTAATATGACGTCCATGTCAAAATGGCCGGCTTCGTTCAAATTTGTTCGAAGTGCTTCCTTTGTTTTACTGACTTTGCTCATTATCATTGAGTGTGTTGCCGTTATGACGACAAAGATAGTCCATCAAAGTCGAGTCCATCTTTAATTTCTTCTTTATTTCGTTTTCTAACTAATTGTGACGACATTGGAAAGTGACAACGCTGTGACGAGAGAAGATGCTCAACAGATTGGAACGCGGCCACAACGGCGCCGATGTTTGAAATCCCTCAGTCGTTGTTGCGTTGCAGTTTTTTTTGTTTTTGTTTTACGCGTTTATGACTCATATAATCTTTGTTTATTTCAGTTTTAAAAAACATTTCGGGTAGTTATGGGTGTTCAGTATTTGTGGTCTATCATCGAGCCGGTTCGTGAGTCGGTGCCGCTGTACAGTTTGAGCGGAAAGACGCTGGCAGTAGACCTGAGCTTGTGGATATGCGAGGCCCAGCATGTCCAAGCAATGATGGGCCGAGTTACAAAGCCCCACTTGAGGTAATTCTCTTCTTTAAGAAACTCTTCATGATGTGATATGTTATTTCACTGTTTGAGACAGCCAGTCCTCAGTTAACAATGCTCCATTGTGTCCAGAAATCTATTTTTCAGGGTGTCATCCCTCACCCTCATGGGGGTTAAGCTTGTCTTCGTCATGGAAGGAGAAGCCCCTAAAATGAAGGCAGAGACAATGAGCAAGAGGACAGAAGCAAGATATGGAGGAGTCAAAAAGCCTCCTGCCTCCAAGTCTGCAACCAACACCAGCAGAGGGCGCTTTAATGCCGTACTGAGAGAGGTTTGGCTGCCCCCTTCACTTAAACATCTCATAAGAGATCAGTGATGAAATGTTTGATGTGTTCAAGCAGTCTTGTCTCTTCCTTTGCCTTCTGTAGTGTGCAGAGATGTTGGACAACATGGGTGTGCCGTGGGTGACAGCTGCTGGGGAGGCTGAGGCCATGTGTGCCTACCTGGACTCGCAGGGTCTGGTGGATGGCTGCATCACTAACGATGGAGATGCTTTCTTGTATGGAGCCCGTACTGTGTACAGGAACTTCAATATGAACAGTAAAGTATGTGTTGCGTGTGGGTTGATATCAGTCATCCAAACTGTAAAAAATTCTGGAGAAAGATAAATCCAAAATCACCGGGCTGAATGTGTTTCACTGCTCCGTCACCACAAACTATCTTGAGGATAACTGCATGATTCATTATTTTGATCAAAACTCTGTCACGTGATTTAGACAAAACTCTCTCTAGACCATTAAAGTAACTCTTGGGCCTTTTTAGAGCTGTATTTAAAGTAATCGTTATCACACATTTGTTTTTTCCCTTGAGGAAATCATTTCGGTCCATGTCTGTGTTTTTGTGTAATTGCATCTCTATAACTCACATTGATTAGAAATGAGTGTTAAATTAGTTAACCTAACTTTATTGTACTTTGGTCACACATATGATTATTTATATTAAGAAGTTCAAGTGGAGCAATGTTGATTCAGCCAGAGAGGTGGGAAAAACGTGATTGTATCATTTGAAATAACTCTTCCATATCGATTTGTCCACTGTCAAAACCAATAAATGCATACGAGGTTCATTTAGGTTCCCTATGATGTTCATTTAATATTTATTTGGACAATTACCTCATCATAAATGATCAACTTATCCGTAATGAAAATATTACTTTCTGTAGTCCTACACGTTTCATTTTAAGAACCTTTTTTATTTCTTTGATGTACTTTTGTGAATGCTCACCACGTGAATTAAAAACTCTCCAATCGACATGTTTTTTTTCTCCCTTTTCATCTAGGACCCTCAGGTGGAGTGTTACATGACCTCCAGGGTACTAACCGAGTTGCATCTCTCCAGAGAGAATCTTGTCGGCCTGGCCGTCCTCCTTGGCTGTGACTATATTCCTAAAGTAGGGATGATCTGTTAATCGGAAATATTAAATACGAAAAGTCAATAATATGCATGACATGCGTATATTAACTGTAAATAAATGTTCTTCCATTAGGGCATATCGGGCGTTGGTAAAGAACAAGCTCTGAAGCTTATCCACATGCTTAAAGGACAAACACTTCTGCAGAGGTAGGAAACCCAAGCTCTAACTTTTTCTTAGATCCTTTTTAATAAAAAAAAAATTCTGTTTATATTCAAAAAATTTTTTTGCATAATTAACCTTCTCCTGACCCCCTCAGGTTCATCCAGTGGAAGGAGGAGACTGCTGGAGTGTCTGAGGGAGTTGTGAAGAAGGTCGCTCACTGCCATGTGTGTCGACATCCTGGTGAGTGTTTCCCTGCGTTGAACTGTGACCCCTGTTCCTGGTCGTGATAAAGGGGGGCAGCAAAAGAGGACACATTTCACACGTGGCTGATTTGAAGCCATTTAACCTGCCATGGTGAAACGTACACGTATGTGAGAGATGGGATAGTCAGTATACAACTTTTGACTTCACACCCAGGATATAGCAGTGTTGCACATTTTAAAGCTACTTCTCTTTTATGAAATCATCATTCTGATTCATCTCACCCTTTTACTCCAGGCTCAGCTAAAGCACATGAACGCGGCGGCTGCATGCTTTGCAACAGTGAACAGTTCTGTCAACCTCAGGACTTTGACTACCAGTGTCCCTGTGACTGGCATCGCTACGAACAGACCCGCCAGGCCACGTCCTTTGAGGCTAATATCAGGAAGTATGTGACTTTCTCAAAAGACAAAAATGAGCTTCACTTCATTTACTAAACCAGTAGATGTCATTGCAGGAAATAGAAATCCTCAAAAGATATAGAGCAAAATCTGAAAGTCATAAGAACACCAGAATAAAGTGTAAACATACCAGAAGGATAATTAAAGAGTAGAAGCATATTAATGATCTTTTCTCAGTATAAGGAACTAAAATCACAAAAAAAGAAGAAGATAGAAAAGAATCTGCTTCTATTTTGTTATTTCCCTATTTATAAAATGACATTATAAACTAATAACTTTGATTCTAGCTCTAAAGTATGAATGTCCTCTTGTTATCTGAATCTCCATCATTTTACAACTTAATTTCTTTGGGTTTTGGACTGTTAATCAGATAAAATAGTGATTTTAATGAGCTCTACATGGGCTTTATTGAACTAAAATAATGTTTTTTAATGTTTTTTCCCCTGTTCTTGTTAGAAAAACACTGGCAAGCTCAAAGTTCCCTTTCACAGAGGTACATCAGTTTATCTTCTCATTATTTCATCACAGCTTTTAAGATCCACAGTATTCAATTTAATTATTATTATAATTATTATTGAATTGCAGATCATTCATGAATTCCTGATTTCCAAGGATAAGCCTGTGTCGCATTTCAAGAGGAGACAGCCAAATATACTTCTAATGCAGGTAATGGGCCCATTGAAATGAGCTTGTTTTGAAAGTTATCCTTTCAGTGAATAAGAGGCTAATCATTTGTTGTGTTTTCTAGAAATTTGCTTTGCAAAAGATGGAGTGGCCGACGCACTACACCAGTGAAAAGGTTTTAGTTTTGATGACCTATGCTGAGTTGATGAACAGAAAATACGGGAGAGAATCGTCTTCCCAAATCAAGCCTCTCGGGTAGACGTACAAGTTCAATTTCAACATTTTAAAATAAAGAAAGTGTCTGGATTGAAAATTAAAAATATTATTTCCATAATATGCTTAATCAACACCACCTTTTATCCCTTAAAAGGATATTGAAGCCGAGGGTGAGGAATGCTGTCCCTGCTTTGAAATCATCTGGCGCACACCAGGTCAGTTGAAAGCATCCAACAAAGGGTGCTCAAAACGATATAATAAGTGATGCTCTGTTTCCTGCAGACTTCCACTTTTTCCTCACATCAGAAAATGAGGCGTTGAAAAAGTGTTTGAGTGACATGACTGCTGGTTTGAGTGACATGACTGCTGCAGAAAGCCGAAGGTTGGGGTGCGGGGTGCTCGTCGCCGGGTTGTCTGTTAGTGACTTGCTGTGAGGTGGGCTCAGAGGTGACAGATCGCTCACAACAACCACAAGGTGCTAAACTGGCTTCCTCCTCTGGCTGAGAAATCTGTCATATCAAGTCTGCTTCACTAACAAGCCTGAGAAAATCCCTATCAGCTCACTTGGAACATTTCTTATATTATACCATGAAAAGAAAAGTATTCTTTCAACCGACTACATTACACAAGGTTATAGATTTATATATCTATATATGATACTTTATTTATTTAACCATAAATAACTGGATATACTACCCTGACAGTAACAGAATAATGTAATACAAATGGAAAATTACATTTAGATAATGCTTTGTAAAACCAGTCAACTATTTCTGTCAAAATAATACAGCTGAACTGTGTTGACATGTGTTCATATAAACATGTATTCATTTAAATATTCCTGTATAAAGATAGTGGTTGAGAGGTTTTAATAACATTTAGGATTTTAAGGGATACAGTATTAGAACATTGTATGGAAAACTTAAATAGAATCCATCTTGGGTATTTGATTATTTTGTTTGTTTTTTCGATTTTAGCAGATGTTGAAAGAACAAACTATTAATGCAAAATGTCCTTTTTAATTTTGACACCTCAAATGTCTCCAACATATTTTTTGTAACAATAATAGTAAAAAAAGAAAGGGGAGGGGGGGTTTCCAATTTAGAGAAATGTACTGAGTCCTACTTAAACCTAACCTTGACTTTTTTTTCCCCCCTGCAGAACATTTTGTCTTTCCTGAGGATCGACCTGTAGACGATCAACACGAGGTGAGGACGGTGGAGGAAGAGTCTCTGTTCCGTGTGGCTTTCCCAGAGATAGTGGAGAGCTACCTGAGAGACAAAGCTCAAGCCGCAGAGAACAAGACAAAGAGTAAGAAATACACATTACCATATAAGTAAAACCTATTTTTTTGTTTAGATTTGTTTTTAAATGAACCATGTCTGACATTAAAACAAAACTGAGAGACTCCTCCATCCCCCCTAATCAGACGTGACAACCTCTAAGACTTCCCACGCTTCTGACAAGATGTGCTGATCAAAGCCACCTGAAGCTATGTCTTGTTTTTCAAGGCTGTGTATTACAGCACCTCTGACACCTGAAAATGAAGAGTTTGGCAACTCGACTTGTTCAAACCAAAGGCTTTGATGCAGCAGAGAGGTGTCTGCCTCTCGGCTTCTCTGTCACTTTATGCACTTTATACTTTGCTTCCCATCTTCCTGCTCACGACTGCTGTGAGGCTTCACTTCCTAATGTGTTGGAAAGTCTTAACAATGCAGAGTGAATATGTTCAACAAGTGATTGTCTTTTGAACACTGACATCGAGTCTTATTTCTTATTTGCAGAGAAAAAGCCGAAGAGTAAAAAGGAGAAGCAGTCAGATGATTCTGAGGGTATTTCGGACCTCTTAGCTCTGATGACCCTCCAGAGTTCCTCCGACACTCCACCACAAACGCTGCTCCCTGTCATTTCTAACCCTGAGGAGCCAGAGGTGCTGGTTTTGGACACTCCAGTTAAGCACGATCATCAGCAAACATCAAAAAAAGATCATGGCAATCTGGTTGATTGCTCAAATATACATCTGCCTCGTGCAGAATCTGACACTATTGCTTCACCTTCAGTCTCTGCCGTTATTGACGCTCTACACCTGAGCGACATAAACTGGGATGCGTCGTCCTTCATGTCCTCTCCGACTCCACAACCAGCTGCAAACCACAACACAGAGCCCAGGCTGAGCAAAACCACACACAGTGATGTGAACGAGGCAGAGGGGAAAATCATCCAAAACGAGGTCAAAGAAAGTGAGTCCAAGTCTGCTCCAGAGTCGTGCTCCGCAGAGTGTCCACTGAGGGAGAGGTTGCTTATGAGGAACACAGCTAAACAATTAGCCCCTCTCAAACTAATTCCTTCTAAAAACTCAAAACCAAATGGAGAGATCCCCATTAAAGGTAGCAGTGATAGTAAGGAATCTGGTGTTTACAGAAAAGCACCACTCAGTGCAACAAACAAGTCAGAAACAGCAGCATACAACTCAAAACAGCAGCTGAAGTCCACAACACAAACTCAAAGTAAGACGAACGACACATGTAACATCTCCAGAAAGCCTCCTCAGAAATATAGATTTGTTAAAAAAGCGTTTTCCTCATCAGCCGTCCCGCCAACGAGGTGCCAGCCTGATCCAGGCCAAAGCAACAAAGACAAGAGTGTGCCAGAAAGCACCAAGAGGAGTGTGTGTGTAAGTGTTTGTACATCCAGTGAGGAGAGTGACGCAGAGAATCAGCTGTTGGGAGCACAAAGGAAAGCTAAGAACAAGACTGTTAACAAGCTTAAGGGAAGGGTCCTCGTAGAGCCCCCCCTAAAGCCCATCTCTGCACCAAAACCAGCTAAAGAGGCTCACAACGTTCAGTTTACCTTAATCCCAAAACCTAAGAGGCGTGTGGATCCTAAACTAAAAAGAGTCCCTGTATTACCTAATAGCAAATGTCCGAATGTTTCACCAGCTTATGTGAATGCGGACGCGTTCTGTCCGAATCCAGCTTCACCGGTCTCTTTGTTAGAAAGTGACGATTCGGTTATTTGCACCGAGAGTCCGCTGCCACTTTCTGAGAGACTGAGGTTGAAATTCCTGAAATGAGCAGCATGATAACAAGATGATGGACACGGACATGAAAGCTGTTGAACATTTTATTATTACCCTGGAGATAGAGATTGACAACAAAAACAAGTCATTTATTGCTTTTTACAGTAGAACTGCAACGATCCAAAAATTGTTTGTTCTTTCATTTCTTTGAGCAAATGAGTCCAGCTGTGATGGTTTCTTTTCCTCAAATCTAAGAATTTCATGCATTTGTGTCTTAAATTTAGAATACATTAAATGTTGTGCTTTGGTTTGGGGAGACAAAACTACATTCAGACGTCATTAGCTCAGTTTTTTTGCATTTTAATCTGCAATTTTACTGTTAGTGATGTTCCCAATGTTGTAAAGTCGAAGTTGGTCAAAGGTTTGCACTCGTTTCTGATTTTGAAATCATGTGAAAGTCTCCTGAAAAATTAAGGAGACTATCAAAAAAAGTGTTTTAAGTATTCAACTCGAATTATGAGCCTCCATTTTAAAAAAAAAGAAAAAAAAAAGAAGACTTGTTTGACCTTGAGTCAAAAAAATGTATTCACTGGATTGAATGGAGGGACCATGCAATCAAAGAATTGTGTTAGATGTTTATTGCAATGTGCTTTTTGATATTTAAAAACTTACACTCATCCTTATAAATTCAAGTTCAAATAAAAAAAAGTTGTTGTTGTGCCTCACCAAATATAAACTGTTCTTTGACCCTGAAAATATCAGTTCATGTTAATCAGAGGATAAAGTTTTGGATTAGCACCGTTTTCAGTATTAAATGCCACTTAACAATGCCACGTGATGTGCTTATTTTCTCCCACTGCTGTTTGTTTGACAGGCTGTATGTCACTTTTTTAGAATAGGCAGACAGAGAGTAGCTAAACAGGACACACAGAGGGGACGCTGAGCCATTGGTTTTACAGCCTGCCTGTGTTTGTCCCCTTGATCATGAGTGAGGCCTTACACACCTTTTCAGACATGAAAGGTCTGGCAGGAGCTTGGTGACAGCTGCATCCTCTGACCAAACAACAACTTGGTCCCACTGCTGCCTCTTGAAACGTATTAAATCTAACAGTTTTTCAAGGGAATTCTGCTTCCTTTTCCAAACACAGATGAAGTTGTCTCCCACAATATTTTGTTTCATTTTCTTTATTTGTCATGTAAAGAATATTGCTGGAAACCTTTTTTTTTTCCTAAATGGAGACAGCATTTTGTGCACTTCTAAATGCAAAGACAAATAGAAGATTCAGTACATGGACATGGTTATATTTAATTATTTTGCCCATCACATGACACTGTTGATTCTTAAACTTTATATTTTTTCTGATATACTTTTTTTAGTTTTTAACTCGTAAGCTCTGGCTCTACTCTCTCAAACTAAAAATGGAATGTATTTATTTATTTAACTTTATAACTTCCAGACTGAAGACACACGCAGGCCTGACCTGCCACAGAGGTGTGAAGGGTTCAGGTGAACTAGCATCCTCTCAATCCTTCATTAGTCACATCACATCAAACTGATAATTGTCCTCGTGCAGACTTTAAAGAGTATTACACCACGAAAGGAATCTAATTATTTGTCTTTCTATCACATTATCCGTCTATTTAGCCTTATTCACACCCCAGTGATAAACAACGACGTCCTTCGGGAAGGTCGCATTTTGGCACTTGAGGATTTCTTTGAACTTTTTTTTTTTTTTTTTCGCCTGAGCTGTGAACCCATAAACCTCCGGAGATCTGCTTCTGTATAAAACCGCTTTGGCTAAAATCACCGGCGCACAATCTGTCCGTCATTTACCCTTCATGCCAGCATCTCTGCGTCTGTAAGACTCGGGGTATTCCTAACATGGACCTGGATGACGTTACAGCTGAAATCCTTTCTGAGTGGAAGAGCCATGAAAGCGCTTTTGGGGAAGACCGGGACTCGCTTCTGTCCGCATCACCAGAGTCCTCCATGGACTCCATGTGCTCCTCACCGGAGATGTGCTACTCCAGCGGGAATCAGGAGCTCAACGATTTCTCATTCGGTTTCTCCGGACGCAGGGCTACATCGACAGCGCAGAGGCTGGGCAAACCCAAGATGTCCACCAAAAGACGCATGAAGGCGAGCGAGAGGGAGAAGATGCGGATGAGGAGTCTCGCAGAGGCTCTCCACCACCTCCGCGACTACCTGCCGTCAGACTACAGCAAAAGAGGCCAACCCCTGACCAAAATACAAACCCTTAAATACACTATTGAATACATCAACCAGCTTTCAGGCATCCTGAGCCGCGCGTAACGAAAGCATATGGACCACTTTTACGCGTCAGGTGTAGGCCTCCTCTATTCTGGACATTTGATGGAGTTAGTAGTTGTATCGCTCATAAGATGTGCAACATCTTTTAGACAACGTGATCATTCAGTTTCATTTCATTATGTTTCACTCTTTGTTTTTTTTGCCCTTCTCTTGGTGTAAATATTGTTTTTAGTGGGCACTTTATTTTTGTACATGAGACTGCCTTGATTGAAATATGAATTAAATCTTTTAAAGAAAGAGTTTGCTTTTCTTAAATGTTTGTTTCGCCCATTAGATCTTAGTGGAGGCCTGTCTGAAATACATCTGTTGTGATGAAGAATCCTGAAGCTACAGAAACCCAAGTCAAAGCTTTTCATGGCTTGCTGATACTGTTTTCGGTCTCTTGTATTTTCTTTCTGACAAAACGGAGAACTTGCGTAATTGCTTGATAGTTTTAATGTTTATTGTTAAATCTAGCAAATAAACAGACATAGCCTAGTCCTTTGTGTTTTGTATATGTTAACCTATACGATAAAGTCCGATTTATTGATTCTATTTCAAAATAAGATAGATCGATCAAGCTCTTTTAAACATCAGTAGTGTTAAACAAATACTTTTAATTCACCATTTTAATTCCCTTCATTTGTACAGGGTCCATGTAGGCTCCTAATATTTTTGATAAATTGTACCAGAGTTTGCATGAAGCTACATTTATATCTGCAGATCCAGGTGCAGTTCACCAATAGGCTACATTTTATCACCCAAGGTATATTGACACTACGCGTTGAACTTGTGGCCTAGTTACCCAATGAACCGTCTTCAAGATGAACAGTAGCGTTAGAACAGTACGTCAACCTTTATACTCCAATCAGAAAGCCAGAATCCTGGACGTAGATTGACTGAATAGAGAAAATAGCCAATCAGACACCAGCACTCCCCCTGGTTGGCGTCACTTCCCTCGCTGTGTCTCCCCCCCCCCCCCCATAAAGAAATCCCAACCTGGGTTGAATCAACTCAAGTCTGAAGATCCGCCATTTCAAAGCGCGGAGGAGCAAAAAAGGCTTGTAGGAAGTTTTGTAAATTTGTATTTTTTAAAAAAAACCTAATATATTTCTTATTTTCTTAGCAAGCACGAGAGTTATATAACATTTTGAATCTACCTCCCTGGCATCACCAGCTGAAGTAAGTCTGCCCATCTTTTCATTTCGCCAAACCTTTTGACTGCCACAGAAACGCCCCTTTTAGTCATAACCCAACATTTTTAATACAGCCCTGTTAATATGCTTGATTACGATCATTTTTTTCAATTACTCAAACATGAAATGTTATGTTGTGACACCACGTAGAAGCAACTGTTGGACTTAACACTTGCTTTGCGATTGTGCGTCCAGGAATTAGACTGGGCCCGTCCTGTAAACATTGGACAGCCTACTTGGCGCTAAATAGTATCAAAAATGTTTCACGAGTGTTTTGAGATGCATGTGTTGCATTTGAAGAGCTCACACATCTCCAAACGCCTCTCAGGATACAAATGTTTCCGTGACGTGCGACGTGCCTTTTTCCTGTGCAAGCTTCTTTTTTACTGGCAATGAGAGCAGTGTTCCTATCTATCAGATTTCTATATACTTTTTTTTATAAACATATTTCAAGGTTTCCATATATACATTCAAATGTAATCGAAAATACTACAGTACAGCAAAGAAAACCACCACAAGGGTAATTATATATATATATATATGTATATATATTTTTAGGCACGTACTAACCAGGTGAGCCTTTTCAAACTGCCAACAAACTATTCATAGTAAACAAACAGCTTACAAAATGTAAACACAAACTAAGCAATTTTGAACCGAATACAAAATTGAAGGGACACATTCATCAGATAATGAAAGTTTTCTAAATAATCCTATAATTTAAGATGGATTGGACTTCAGGGTATGCTGAAAAGATTAGAATATATAAGTGATGTGCCTGTAGGAGGAGTACCTAATAATGAGCTCATTTTAAACAAAGCTTTTTTTGTTTTCTGCACTTTTGCTCTTTCCACAGGGACTCAACAGTGGTGTTTAATATTGGAATATCACATTTTATAAAGGGGTAATAGGGAATATGTTCTCCACCCCCCACCCCTCACCCCCAACCCCAACGTATCCCATCTGTGTTCTTGAGTCTTTGGTCAAAATTGTCAGACACAGTGAAAGAAAAACAGATCAAAAACAAGTCTTTAATTTTGTTTGTCCTTTTGTGTGGTTGCTTCTTAGATGTTTGTAAAGTAATTTCAGAAATGCAGATTACCCACATACAGTATGTTAAATGTCAGCTTCTCGATTGTGCCCACCCTACATTTCCTTAACTTCACCCATATTAAAAAAAACAAAAGATAACTCTTTCACTCACTTTAGCAGATTAACAGATGCATTCATGTTGAAGTGGTGATGTGGGCTGTGGGGATTACAAAGAATGTCAACGTAATCAGCTTTGATTTGCAGTTGCTAACCCCTCAAACTTGACACCTTTCTCAGTATAAGGTATGCAAACAATCTGTCACACCCAGTGACTGAGAAACGCTGTGAATGCAACACAGGGGTTTCACGTTTCACAGATCTGCTGAGCGATAGTTTTAACTGCCATGTGTCACATTTATGGAAACAAAAATATGTGGGTATTACAAATTACACATTTCTGAGTAATTTTAGGAAAGCCAGTTATTAACCGTTTAACGCATGAGCAGTTATTATTTTTTGTCAGCATAAATGAAACAATCTGTAACTCCTGAAAGATAAAAGAGTCAGCAGAAAAGATACATTACTCTGCCTATTAATCTGTATTTTACTGAAAAGGTAAGGGGGTGGATATTCAAAGTTAATATTCAACAACATCTAACAGCAGAGACATATCATAAACTTATTAAAATCAAGTGTTACACATGTCAAATGAGGTTTTGTAGCATAGCAACTGCTCATGAGGGTGTTCCTGCATATTAGATACATCTACCATTTGTTCACATTATGGTTTATTACTCTTTAGCTGCGGGGATGCTGCAGATTATTTCTGCATGGATATATATTTATAAACTGGCAATGTGCCCAAATGTTTTCCTTCTGCAGAGTTTAAATGCTACATTTTGCACATTGTTTGCACATTTAGCATTCAATGTTTCTCTCATGGTTTCTATAAAAGTTGGAGAATTCATTTAAAAAAAAAAAAAATACTGATCTACAAGTGCAATTCTACAATTCACTTAGCAGACGTTTTTATCCAAAGCGACGTACATCAGAGAGTAAGTACAACACAAGCAAGGATCTAGAAAAAAGGGAACAATGTCAGTAAAAGAAAACGATCAGCTTTGAGTCTGATTGGACACACAGGTGCTGAAGGAAGTGACCAGAGGCAAAGCACAACATTGAGGGCAGTTCTTAAGAGCTCTAATCAGTATAGAAACCATCTTATAAGTCATCGTCATCAAACAAAAACAATCGTCACAACCATCGTCATCAATGATATCGAAACCATCATCATTAAGTTAGTAGGTATTCATGAAAGAGCTGGGTCTTTAGCTTTTTCTTAAAGGTCGAATGGCGTTTGGAAGTTCATTCCACCACCAAATAGGTTGCCATGGTGACATCGTGCTGTATATTAATATGGAACTGCATACTTTCAGATGGACGCAGACACAGAAGAAAAGATGACAGAAACTTCGAAAACTTCCAAAGAGGAATCTGCGACAGCAGTAATGGACAACAAAGCTAGGTGGGTCTTCTGGTTCCTTGTAGTCAAGTACTGCATATATACAGATATGTCGTGACGCCGTTTTAACTGTATGCAATGTGGAAAGGAGCACTCCTAGACAGCAGTCAGTGAGCGTTCTAGCTAATGTAAACATGTTCAATCTTTCTCCTTCTTATATCCTTGTCTATATGAGGAAGTCACGCAGAGTTTTGTAAAAAAAAAAAAAAATAGCACTCTAAATTGGTCAGATGTTGCAGTAGAGGATTTCTAGGTTTGACATCAAACTAAACCTCAGATTACAGATGAACACGATTTAATTTGGACTCCTGACATGGCGGTTTTCCTCACAATTTTTTCCTCTCCCCAGGGGTCGTGGGTTTAGAGGCCGAGGGGGTCGGATGAGTCGAGGCGGCATGCGTGGTGGGCGGGGCATGATGAAAGGGTTCGGTCCACCTGGACATGAGAGGGGTCGACTGAAACACGGGCCCATGAATGGATTTGCACCCATGAGGTAATGTACATGATGTGAAGTATAATAATAAAACAAACGTTGTTATAGAACATATTACCCTTTATGTGCTGCATTTACCCTTTTCGTTTTGGATAAGAATGTATTTCCTGCCGTTGCCTTACAGAGGCATGAGGAGAATGCGACCTTACCCAGACCTTAGAGGACATAGAGGCAGGGTTGGACCAATGGGCATGGGCCCTCCTCCTCCTCCCCCTCTTCCCCCACCACCACCCATGCACCTGAGGAGCCCCTTCCCACCTATGCCCAGGTAACCGCTCAGAAAAAGAGACAGTCAAATTCAGAGACACCTCCAAAAGCCGAATGCACCGTAGAGTAGACGCAGTGTATTGAAGACAAAGCCAGATGACAGATATCGTGGTACAAATGGCCCCCGTTCGGCAGAGCCGTACAGCCTAGATTCTGTGCCGGCATTCCAATCTGTTTCTCAATCAAGGTGCCGAGCTGACCGTTATTCCCTGTGGATAACACACTTGCATTGACAAGTAAAATACTGAACTATCCCTTTTAACTGAGGTGACTTTCGTTTGAACAGTTGCTTATGTGTATCTCCACAATGGCTTCATCTTACTTAAAAACACACACTCAAATCTGTACCGTATGACGTCTACACTGTAGGCACGGACCCCTTCCGCCTCCGCCTCCGGGTCATCCAGGGTTCAGAGGGCGTCCACCACACCCTCGAGGCCGTGGTATGCCACCCCCCGGGCCTCGACGCTACTTCGACCCCCGCGGCCCGAGAGGGTAAGAACCGTTTAAGTATTAATATCACGCTTAAGCTTTGCACGTCACAATTCTTGGCTCTTTCCCTGCACGCTTCTAAGATTCACAGATGGATTTTAAAAAAAAAACAACAACAACAGGTAAGCAGTTTAGACGCGCTTTCACCAGTTTTAGTCCTTTAAATCTGTAATACAAACACACTAGAAATAGCGAGCCAAAAAACTGAGGGTTGTGAGGCAGTGTACAGTCCTTTCGGTCCTTTTTCTCCGAAGCCTCTTATTAGCTTAACCTTCTTCACTTAAACAGAGAGAAGACATAATGTAGCTTTTGTCCAAATAGTTTGTCTTAGTACAACAAATGCAGGGAGAAAGATAGTTAATACATAAATAATTATAAAATGCATTTATTCCCACCTGTTCTACAGCACATTTGTAAACAGTGCATGGAATATTGAAAATGAGAAAGACATCAATGTATTGGACCATTTAAGGATACACAGCAGCTGAGAGGGGACAACATCCCTGACTGGAAAACTTCAGCAGGCCGCTCTTATCAGAGTGCGCCCCCTAATGGCCAGAGCCAAGACATCCAATGTGTGATTTTATCCTTTTACACAGCTACCACAATGGACCGGTCTCTCCTCCGCCTCACCCCCCACCTGGCAGAGGCCAGAGGTGGCCCGGGCCCCCTGGTGGCCGACGCTTTTAACACAGCCTGCCCTAAAAAAACAATAACAAAGCACTTGTTAATGTAGAAGGGGCTGAAAAGTGGTGCAGTAAATGAAATGCCCCTTAACTATGTGTAAAACAAAGTCTTTGAGTATCTTCATGGCATACTCTGTGGCCAAATGTCTGGTTATTGATTTTGTCTACTGGCAAATGTGAAAATGACAACTGAGGAAAACAGCTTTGTAAAAGGCACCCTGGCATTCTGTTACATTATGTTAAAGAAATACTGTTGGTGCTGTTGGAACTATTTGACAATGTTAAGAAAAAGTTTTCCTCTAAAGGGGCAACACTCTTGTCAAAGTTTGTTAAATGTTCTGTGTTTTTTTTGTTGTTGTTAAGTCAACCTGTAAGCTCCAGCAAATGTTCCCCATCCTTTTTAACAATATAAAATGGGTGACGGTGCTTATATGAAGATGGGCGACATTTAACAAAGGCGTACACAACAGCTCCAAGCACTGCATTTATGGTTTAGCACACCGTGGACCTCCCTTACTTTCCTTTTGTTACATGGAATAGTTATGTTTTTATAACCTCTCAGAGCAGCGCAGCACATATTGTTTAACAATGAAATATTCTTTCAAGAGAACATACAGTATTCCACCACTCAAGTATTCATGAGTATTTCACTTCTTCTTATTATGTATCGTTAATGTGCAGCTTTTTTAAGTTGAGTATTGCTGTTTGGAACATTCATGTTTGTCTCCAGCAAACGTTTGTGTCATGACAAAAAGGAAAAGGCATTATAAATGAACAGCATAGTAGCTTTTTATAAAAGAAAGCCAATTCCATGAGTATTTGCTTCAGTTAAGGATAAGAAATTACTCTTTAATGTGTTACATTTGTTTGAAGTGTTATTCCAAACTTAATTCACTGTAATTAACAGAACTTTTGTGAACCTGTGAATGTGTTTGATGAAATTCGTCAAGACATATGACGTAGTAGTGGAGAGAAAAAAAAAATAAAACGACAACAAACAAAAAAAAAAACTCAACTTCTCTTTTTTTGTTTATTCAGAAAACAAGTCTGAGAGTTGTCATTACCACTTCCAGCAAATCTGTAATAAATGAACGAGATTTGCAGTGGCAAAAACTAGAAATGTTCACAGGGGCACGATAACACGTCACTTCATCTATGAGACGAGTGAAGATCTAAGTCATGTAAAGACCACTGCAAAGATTACCATCTTTATATTGACACCATTGACTGAGAGCGGAGGACCAAGAGCCCCGAATCAATGCAATACTCAGTGGAGCTGAATAGATCGTGTGTGGTAGTAGTCTTATCTGCAGGCTGGACATTTAAAAAAAAAAAAAGAAAGGATTGAAAAATAGCAGAAGTGTTAATAAAAGAAATATCAGCTTCTCAGTTGCATTGCCATTCATCTTGACATAACTTAAAGTGATTGGAGGTCTCCACCAACAGCTTTACTTGGAAAATTCAGTGGTAGCATGTCTAAAAGGAGGACATCATCTGCAAAGGATAAAAAAAAAAAACACTGATATGACACTGGACTTTCACATTTTCTTGCTGCTTCAGACACATATCATTAACATCTTAATTTTAGATTTGGAGGACTTTAGAGTATTTGACAAATATGTGTTCTGACATGCATGTTTTTCTATTCCAGTTGATTTTAGTATGTTTGTTGGATGAAGCAGAGAACAGATTATGTGATACAGGATTTTCTTATTTGCAGTGATTTACAATTATGGCTCCATTTTAGGGGACATTGAATGAAGTGGACACTGATTTAAAAAAATAATGCATCTTTTTAGGTTCTACAAGCTTATGAAGGGCTTGACCCTCTCTTTTTAGGAATGCACTGATCAAACTTTTTTTGACTTAGTACTGATCCCATTCTAGAGTTTTATTTAAAAAGTCTTCTGATGTGGAACAGCTTTGGTTATTTTTTTTAACGTGTAAGGCAACATGAGGGTGACTTAGATATTGCTATGCTAACAAAAATCTAACTTAAAGAACATACAATAGTAATTACATATGAAGTAAATAAATAAAATAAAAATAAACAGAACACAGGTATTGTCGTGTTATATCACATTTAAGTCACAAACTTTGTGTGACGGTAAAACCTTGGACTGCTCTTTCGGCCTTGTGCATGCGGGAATACTTTCTTTGAGCATAAAGACAGGCCTGCACTCTGCTGATGCAACAAGGAGCACAGAATACAATTGAACAGCTTAGCTGAGGTTTTGCCTCATTCTCCTCAACATCTGATCCATATACTGCAGTCAGTATCAGTTTGGTCCATCACTGCTGTTTTCCTTCTAAGGTTACTGAATATATCGATTTAAAAACAAGTGATGTAGTGCGAAAGCCAGGTCACATAAAGAGTGGAGTGTTTTATGTTCTGCTTGCACAAACAGGGATTTGTCCATTCCTCTGGGTAAAAAAAGCACTTAGTTCCCTCAGCCACCAAATCTCTACAGAACACTGAAACATGGCTGCAAATGTACAGCTGGCCTACATGATACATTTATTCACAGGCAGGTGTTGCCCTCTCTCTCTTCTGTCTGTCTTTCTCCATCTCTTCAGCACCTTCAGTACATTTTGCTGCCTTTTCCGTCTCTGCAGTCCCTTCTTGTTCTGTCCCTTCTTTGGTTGATTGTAACAGACTGACTGTTGTTGTCTCCTGAAGGGGGGCACACAGTACAGTTCACCTCCCAGGCTCCAGGAACCCAGGCCCTCCCCTCCCATCTCTCCCCTCCTTCACCAGCGGCGTGACACCTGAGGTCCGGCACTTCACTTGAAAAGGTGAGCCTCCTCTTGTGTCTTAAATCCCCTAAACCCCTCCCTCCCCTGACGCCTGGAGATTCTCTCTTTCAGGTTGGAAGTCACTGAGACACAGAGGACTACGGGTAAGAGCTTAAGGTACTTACTCTTTTATTATTGGCATCAAACAAGTAAACATAAGGGTAGGGGACGGAGCATGCTGGTGAAGAAAAGATAAATCTCTAACCAGAATTATTGCACTTATAACAAACGTGGATATTTGTACACGTTCAGCAGGAAAGCAGAGGTGTGGAAAATATTTAGGATAGCTAAAGTTCTGTTTTGCTGCTAAGATTAAAGGCTCCTCCTTATTGGTGCAATAAACGCTGATGTATTGTGCAATTAGTAGTGTTAAATAATAAATCGATGCATTTGTAGTCTAAAGCACTTGGCTGCAAACACTGGACAAAAAGAGAAGAGATTGGTATTAAATATTCAAAATCTCGTACTTGTGTGCCTGAAAGCTTACAGGAATTGTAGCAGTATTACTCTAAACTGTTGTTTATTCCACTGGGGGGGGAAGAGTAGACCAGAACAATTATAATTACAAATACATAATCATGATGTTTTTTTTTTTATGTAACTCAGCATTTGTTAAAAAAAAAAAACATTCACAAATTGGATGAAGACCCCATAGAAAATGTTACAAGACACAGATGCAAAAAGATGTCGGTGTTACAGTTTAAGATTCTCATGGTATGCTTTTGTGTTGTTATACAAAACGGTTGCATAACCTAACTAGGAATGCTAGATGTCAAGCTTTAATAACTGTCAAGTGGACTGAATATCTGTAGGATTTAGATGTTCATATTGACCCAAATGAGGACAAAGAGAGGACGTCAAGTGTCTGTGCTGCTTGTGGAGCGGTATTTCTTGAACCTGCAGTGTACAAATCAAAACCAGAAGAAAATGTAAATCTCCGGATTTCGTTCTATATTAAGTTCATTTCAGTCACAATAAGATGTCTTTAGATTCTTAGATATGAACTGGTTACATAGTCAAGTTTTAATACCATTTGTGGTCATTATGGGATAGAAAGCTGATGACTCTCATAGTAACTTGTCTTAGATACTGCTTTGTAAAACGGATTATAAAGCAGGGGAAGGGGTGGGGCAATAGCACAAAAAAGATGTCAGCGATGATATATGTATATGTATAAGGGATTTTTACAAGAAAATCTTTGAAAACAACAGGTATGCAAGCATTTGTTTCCTATCATTCAGCCTGACAACATGTGGTTTTCACTGTTGAGCAGTAGATCGTTAAATCATTTTGCCTATGTTTTGTGTTTACAATCTATTCAATAAAAGCAATAAAGACATCTCTTGTGTACTGGTCTTTGTTTTCTTCCTAATAAAACATGATCCCACTGGGGGAACAATCCAAAATGACTGTAACCAGGTGGAACAACACATTGTCGAATTTAGTCGAAGAACTTTTGGAAATGAAACTCTGACTTAATAATCAAGCAAAAATGTGAATTCATGTCAGTACATTCAGGATTTATTTTGTGGAAAAAAGTTTACAATATATTTAGATCAACATTGATTTTTTTTTCCACAGTAACGACTGAAAACAACTGCAAAATAAGAGAACACAGTAACACATAATTACATGTTGAAATAAAGAAATACAACTTCCATAGATTGCCTTTTTATGTTGAGGTCTTTAACTGTCTATTGATAATGATGATAAGATCTATATGACGTTCTGTATGTAAATATCGCCTTTCACATCCAGTGTTCACTGACTTGGCCCGTCCTCAGCGGGGTTCTCCTTCCACATGGGTTCCAGGATGTGATCTGGAACCTTCTCCATGGCAGTCTGAGAACATGGCGGGACAACAATCATTTGTTACATATATTTAAGCCACTTGACTGCACAAGCAGATAAAGCAGGCTGGGCTGATGTAGGACTGACTCTTACCTTTGTCACCTCCATGGCTAAACCTTCAGGGAGGTTCCTCTGGACATATTCAAGGAACACCTGTGCTGTGGAGCCTGTTAAATGAGACAGCTACAAAACAAGAAAACAAACATCTTAGATACATGATTTCACCATTACTAACAATTGTAAAGCTAAATTATAACCAGTATGAGCACTTTAGTTTCAAATCAGAGTCATGTCTGTTTACGTTATAATATTTCCATAAACCCTTAAGAACTGTGTTTTTTTTGCCATTGAGACCAGAATTGTATTTCTGGGAACATTTTGCCAGAATTAAGATTTTTTTTATTTCAGTTCACTTCGAGACGCAAGCTAGAGTCATATCTTTTACTACACACAGGAGGTGAGTGTAAAATGGGTGATTCAGAAGGTTTTAAAAATGAATGATTTAACAATCTTCTACAACATATAATTGAATGTTTCAGATGCCATAATAGCATAAACAGAAGCTAACAAATTGCAAGTGAGAAAAGTAAAAAGTGTCGATTTGTTGCACTTTGTAAATTACAAAGTGCAAATATAAACTGCGGGTAATGATAATGTGTTTTCATGCGTAAAGTAACAAGTCCATGTAGTCTTGATACTTAAATTGAACATGTTTCGTGCATAATATTAAGTAACCACACTTATCACCTCAATGCAGCGATAGTGAGTCCTCATCTCATACTGGACCCTGTGTTTTTTGAAGATGTGAACTGACTTCAGGACTGTGAGCCTCTCCATGTCCTTAGGAGGTTCATAACTGTAGAGAGAAAAAAAGATCACCAAAGTAGTCAGTGATGAAAAAGGTTTCCTAACATAGTGGCTAAAAGTGCTTCTATATTGTAAGGCAGCTTGACTCCGATAGTACTCACACTTTGTTGATGTTGATGCCCAGCTCTTTGGCTGCCATCGTGGTAAAGAACTCATAGCTGTCTAACACAGCCTGGTCATGTCCTTTGACCAGTAGTGACACCCTCTGCAACAGTGTGTCTGGCTCCTCTGTCACTGTGATCTGCAAGGAAACAAAAGGAAGCAAATACCTGAGCATTAGTTTGTATTTTCTTTTTTTTTTTGGCATTCTGAGAACAATAAAGAACCCTATGGATAACTCACTAATGAGGGTGCTGATAAAAACACCGTTCCTGTGTGGAAGGAAGAGCTGGATATCACTGGGAGATGAGACCTGCAGAGACACAGCAGTGAATCATTTGTTGCAAATGAACACCCTTTATAAAGAGGAAAAGTAAAGTTCTGCACAAATTAGTCACATATTGTTATTGGGAACATTTGGAATCATTTTCTGCAAGTCAAAATGTCAAACAGATGTGGGCTGAAATGATTATGAATTTAATACATTAAGTGACTCAAAGAGTGAGAGAAGTGCACATTTTATTGATCCATTTATTGTTCAGTCATGTAAGCAAAAATGTAAAACATTCGCTGAATATGGCATCTAGATGGCCTACATGTTGGTGACTTATTCCGTTCTAAGACAATACTTGCAAGTATTTTCAAACATGAAAATAAATATTAGTTCTTTAAAAGTCTCATATCTGCTTTACAAAAATACATGCCATTTTTTGGACCTAATTAATTTCTATATATATATATTTTTTTTTTACAAATATTTATCATGTGCATTGCTGCTTACACAATCAGTGACAACTTAATTAAGTTAATTTAAAGATCCAATATCAAAAATGTTGTGGCAATCAAGTGCGTTGGTGTTTATTACTGTTATCAGTGAAGAAGAATAAACTAGCCTACCTGATGATATTACATTTCCTGTGAGCTGAACAAGCGAACACAGCTCTCGGCCCCTGTGAATAAATGTACATTAATACAGATTTAGAAATGACATTTACTGTCCTAACATCGTGCTACAACAGCCTACAGCCATCGAAAAAGTGTTATTTCCTTATCGGTACGTTACATTTCTCCTAACTTAAACTGTCACTACTTTGGCAAATCGTTTGTAGAAGTTGTACAACATAAAACATAATGAGAGTTACCTTACCAAATGTGAGAAACCACTAAATATCCTTGCCAAAGAACAAAATTCTCGCCTGAAAGACACGGAGGCCGCCATGTTTTTGGGGACAGTGAAACTCAAGGAAAATTGTAAGTCCAGTGCTGCCCTCATGTGTACTGGAGGTTAAACAACTAATGCACTTCATCTTCCACCTACGAGAAGACCATATCACAGCAAGAGCTTTATCAATATCATAATATTAAACAGATTAGAATATTTATGCACTTTTCGAAAAGAATAGAATAGATGTTTATTGCCATTTGCACAGGTACAGGACAGTACAGGTACATTGGAGTTCTTGTGCGTTTCTCCCTGAGTCAGCTTCTACAAAAAAAAGTTAAAATTATATATAAAATAGAATAGCATTATAAGAAAAAAAAGAGTAAAAAAGTACAACGAAAAGTGAAAGTAAAAATAAACAAGTTGTCGTAACAGCTAAGTGATTTAAAATAAACTGTACAGAAGTTATACACTGTATTAAAGCAAAGATATAATACAAAAAAATAAAAAAGGGTAACACTGTACAATGAAATGAAAATATAAATATGTTTGCATGTCTCTAACTTTCTACATCTCTTATCTCTTACATCTACATCACCTGAGGTTATTGCACACATATTTTTCACATTATGTAATTGTACTGTTTTTTGTTTTTAAGGTTAATAAATAATAATAATAATAATAAATACAACTTTTGTATCATATCAAACAATGATGGCAAAATAACTTACACAGTATCATTTTTTTCTGTTGTTGCTTGAAATTAAATCTATTTTACGTTTTAATAAATAAATCACAATATTTAAAAAAAAAAAAATAGGGGATTATTTAAAGGTTGTCAATGTGTAAATTGGCAGCCTTTACTTTGCTGCATTACTACCCTTTTTTGGATTACACATATTTACTTTGAAGCAGCTTTACACCGAGGACCGCACTTACTAGTATTCATTTAGTGATGCCTTAATGCCACAGACTTATGCGGGACGAGATCTGACAGAAGTATAAATAAATAAATGTGGAAATAAATACGTGTATAAATAAACAAATGTGGAAATAAATAAATGTAGAAATAAATTTAAGACATTTAATTATTTAAGTCCCATTTATTTACCAGTTTTTATTTATTTATTCACGCATTTAATTATTTATTTATTAATTATTTTATTTATTTATTCCAGTATTTATTTATAAATTTATTTATTTATTTATACTTTTTGTCAGATCTCGTCCTCCACATGACTTGTTTATAACAGTATTATTATTATTATTATTTACATGCTGTTGCATCTGGATAGTAAGCACTGGATGCCAGACCTGTGGTAACAAGTCATTGTTTGCAGTATGCCACTGAAAGACCACAGGCCTTTGTTCCTTATTCACAAGAAGTTTAAACGTCATTTTTTATTGATGTGAACTGAGGTAATTTAATTGGTCTGAATCACGTGTGTGTGTCACGTGACGCAGCTGTCGGGGCCCTGTACAGAAGCTGCGGGCGGAGGAAGCAGCGGAACAGAGACGAGGTAAGCTCTCACTGGGCGCTGATGGCTCTCCGGCTTTGTTGACGACAGGTCTGGTTTTTTTCTTCTTCTGCCTATTAGTCCGTCACACCATCGACATGACGTTATTTTAGATAATTCCTGCTGTAACATTTTAAAAAAAGACACGAGGATAATCAGTTAGCTAGCCGCTAGTCGTAGCCTTATCGACGAGTTGCCAAGCGGTGGATGGACGGAGCCAGAACCCCTCGATGGTGGTTCGGGTTCAGCTAGTTAGCAAGTCGGTTAGCCGGTTAGCTGATACGGTCCGTGTGTTTTTTTTTTTTTTTTTTTGAGGAGAAGGCAGCAGCAGACACAGAGATCCTTAACTGTGCTCCCGAGCATCTCATTTTAGCTTTTATCATCACAAAGGAGAAAAGAATGAAAGCTTTAATGCCACCGCTGACATGTTTTTGATCTGTGGGAGCATCACATAATTCTGGATCTTTATCCCAACATCCAGGATCTTTAGCTAAGTGGAGCTAGCAGGCAGCTCACGGTGGAGGGGGTATTTTTTTTTTTTTTTTTTTTGCAGCATTTTGAGTGTCAGTGAGAATCATTTAATATCACTAATGTAACATCCCGACTGGCTTATTTTAACATTCAAGTCACTGTTTTTATTTTGCTGGAGGTGGCTGAATATGTGGTGATCCTCCCCGTCTGTTTAGTTGAATTGCCGTGGAGTGATTTAATCTAAATGTCTTTTCTTTTCCGATTGGACTGTTCATCATTTTTGTTTCCACAACCAAAAGCATCACGACTCTGAACATCTGTTGAGTGCTCCTCTGTTTGCTGATCTCATTTGATAGTGTGAGAAATGGTCAATTGTTTTAG